CCTACCGACTTAGTTAATTAAACTAAAAACGGTAAACGTAAAACTTAAGTAGGTCGACTACTATCTACTATTTACTTTCTTCTTCGTGTAGTGTGTGTAGATATATATATATATATATATATATATATATATATATATATTAAGAATTTGACCAAAAATATAAATTAAAATAGCAGTTCTAAACATTCAATTAAAATATCTTTCTAAACCTTAAGTCATACCTCAAATGCAACAATAGGAACAAACTAGGGTTGGATTTTTTTATTATTATTTTTTTATTCATTTTTGCAGAGGGATTTTACTTCAACAGATACCTAAAAAACCTATACATATCATCCATACATTATTTAATTTATAGTATACTTTTATACTTCACACTATTTTGTTAGTTATTTTATTTACATGTATTATATTTCATAATTTATTGAATCAATACTCTATTACATATACAATAGTGTGCAAATATATATATATAATAACTTAAAGAATTATCATTATATAATCTTTACACACAAAATTTGTTATAGAAATAAATTGTAATTGTGGCCATCTTTGTGGCATTGTGCCTGTGTATTTACTCAAAGTCTCTGGTTAATTTGATTACATTTTTCTTGAAAACGTGATCAGAGGCTTTTTTTTTTTTTTATTACAGTTGGTACTTTTGCCAAGCATAAAGTCCAGTAAATTTCAGATTTGTTCTATGAGATTACGGTCTGGACTTTGTAGCAGCTATTCCATTCACTGGATATCTCATGAGCATTCTTTATTTGCCAAACAAGCACAACATTTTTTGGAAGTGTGAAAGGGGTCATTAACACTATCTTCTTTAAATATAAAATTTTGCCCAATCAGCTTCTTTCCAGAGTACCTGGTATAGTATGTAGAATAATGTACTGTGGTGCTTATGATAATTCATGATTCCATCAGTTTTTGTGAAGATGGCCAACACCATTTTAGATACTGCTCTCCAAACCATTACAGAGACTTCTGCATGCTTGACTGTTACCACAAGGCACTCCTTCTGCAACCTGTCATTAAATCTTTGGTAAACATTTAAATGCTGGTTAGAATAAACAATTCAAATTTAGCCTTCTCTGTCCAAACCACTTTATACTACTGTTCTAAAGCTAGTCTCTTTGCTGTATTCTCTTTATGTACTGAAGGGTTTAATGCTGCTACTGTTCCTCAAAGGCCACATTTCTGCAGAATTCTTGAGACTGTACCTTTTGAAACTTTATCTGACTTGTTATGGTCATCACTGAGGTTTTTCACAGTTTTTCTGTGTTTTTTCAGGGAATTAATTGTGACTAGCTTACCTACTTCACTGTACTTGGTGAATAGTCAAAGTCTTTTTAAATTTTTCTTCAATCCAATTAACATTTTTGTCAGTTGTGACTGGTACAGAAACTAAATGCAGTCATGTGTTACAATATTTTACCACTTTGTATTCAGATGAAACATCTTGAACAACTTTTAAAAAAAATCTTCTGTTGCTTTTCATTAGTCATAGATTCAGTGAAAAAAATCAACAATTTTGCTTATTTTGAATCTTTCTTTTCCCCAACATTTTAAACTAAATTGGTTTTATTTCAATGGCACAACATATCAAAACTACAGGAAAAATGGGGTGTTCTAATAAATTTTCCCACTACTCTGGATGTAAAGATCTTTTTTGAAATTATCTTTCAATGTTTCACTGTATATATTTTCCTAATACAGACTATATGAATAAACAGAAACTTGTTGGAAACTACTTATTTGTATGTCAAGCTAACTAAAGTTACACAATCAATAAACTGTTTGTAATCAACCACAAAGCTACACAACGGGCTATCTGTGCAATGCCCACAACAGGTATCAAAATATCAAAACCCAGTTTTTAGGGCATAGACAGAAAGTTGGCTTTTGTTGGTTATATGCTGGTGTTTGAAAGAATGATAAAAATGTATTAGTGCAATACTTATCTAGGACATCAGTGGTACAATGTTGGGATAGGCAGCTACTATACATTTGTTTATGAATTATATTCAGTTTTGTAAAATACACCAATTTGTGATACTGGACATGCAAATACATAAAAGCTTATTTTAATGTCTTATTTTGTCCAGTTATTCCTGTATATACCAAACGTGTCCTTCTATCACCAGTTATACTGAGCCAAACTGTGATCACATAATAATTTAACAATATGTTTAAACAATTTTAACATAATGTTAAATAATACAATGTGCTTTAAGTGCACAGTTCAAAGTTCACATTAAAATAAACGGCCTATATGGTTTCAGCTGATAAAAAGTGTTAAAATCATGTGAACACAGTGCCAAAAATACAAGTATTTATACAGTATGACTACATAAAGTTTAAGGCCTCCCAATCTTGCCTCTTGTGGTCTAAGTCTCTTCTGTATTGTTCCAATTCCTGAACAGAGAAAAACATTATAGTTAGTTTCAAAGAGAAATATCAAAACTTGTATCTACATGTAGTATACCTTATTTAACTCATTTAAAAAAATTGCAATACTACCAATATGCTAATTAATATCATACAATTTTTTATTAAGTAAAATAGATCCAATACATGAAATGGTACGTAAAATATGCAGTTATTGAGTTTTATTAATAAATTTGATGTTTTTGTGTAAGTTAATTCTATAACTGATTAATGATCACACAATATTTGGTTCTTATAAACCAAATGATATATTATATTTAAAGTTATATACATTAATAAATGATGCAACATTATTAATAACTGATATACTAGTTTAACTGATACTTTGATACAGTTCCAGTTGACAATAAGAACTCGGGTACTGACGATAGGGCTCATTCAGACGTAACCAAGAAAATCGTCATATGTTTAGCATAGATTGAATACAAGTTTGTTTTTTTTTAGGTCTGTCCCAGTTTTTGCAATAGTACCGGTGGTACCAGGTTGCCAGTACCAGTACTTGAGCATCTCTAATCATGTGATTTGAGCAGTTAAATATGAAACTATTCTTCCCAGTACATCAAACCAAATTGTCAATTATCTGTAAGCCCACATGGTATGACAACTGGGGCAATAAATCAGTTAAAACCTACGCTTTCTATTGGTTATAAATTTAATGGCAGTTGGCCTCAGAAAAATCTTTTAGCAAACTGTAAATAAGAGCATGTCAGAGGTAGGCATGGAAAGTGGTTTCTGAATTTTCATTGATTGCTCTTCAGCCCCATAAGATCGAAGGATATAAAAATATAGCTTCAGAATATCAATGACGAAATTATAGAGAATATTTTATGTTACATTTCATAGTTTTCTAGGAGGTGGACTAAAAAAATCCAGAAGAGGAGAGAGCTCAAGAACAAATACCCAAATTCTCACACTTGGGGAATTTGAGGTTGTTTTCAAATATTTCCTTATACAAATAAAACTTATATATTAAAATTTGATTTATTATCTATGGTTTGATGTCAAGTTTGTTTGTCTATCATGATAATTAAGTAGTTTAATTTAATTTTGAATGTAACTCACTGAAACGTTGTGACATGCACAGTTTGACTTGCTTGCATGCTAAGGGTTAATCATGCACACACCTATCTAACATGCAATCAGTCATGTAGGCACATTCACATTCTCTTCCAGAGTATGGGAGTCACCAGTTTCCTATATTTCATTGTGAGATTTGCTTATTAACTGAAGTATAAACTCAAAACTATCACATCCAACATTTGTAATTCTGTGAAAAGCAAAGCTGAAATACCAGAGGAGACATTCAGTCAAAACTCTGAAGATGATATACATATGATATACTATAAACCAGCACTGGTACCGCCGGTACTGATGGCCTAGTACTGGACACCGAGGACAACTGGTATCAACTGCAAATCCTGGTCTGTAAAATGTGGAAACTCTGATTATCTTGGTGTTTGTCTGAAACGTTTACTTAGCCTAAAACCTTGAGGATGTCGTAAAACACTCAGTCCCTAATTTTATCTTTTCACTGGCAGAAATAATGCTGTAGGGACAATGAGTTCAGCATTGTACATCTGTTTACCATTAAAAGATTGTTTTTTAATAATGATCAAAAAACTATTGTAAAAGTATTTAAAATTCTCCTTTCTCTGCTAGTCACCTTTTATTCTTTAATACAAAAACTTAAGTAACTGTAACTTAAGGAGAACCATGTGATAATGTGTTATGACTTCAACTTATTCCTGTTACTGCAGTGAACTTTACTAAATTTTTGTAAATCTCATAACAACAGAAGTATAACAATAATTATATACTAACTTGTATGAAAGTTAATTTAATCTTAGTAATCCATACTATTTCAGTTTGTGTTATTTTATATATCAAAGGTTACTATGCTGTCAGCTTGTCAGAGGAATTTGTCCCTCAGATGAAATTGAAGAACACTGTCCAAACTGTAAGACAGTAAGGCCAGTCAGCATGTGTCCACAGTGCAGCCCTAAATACTCACATACTTTGAATGTACACAGATAGGTTTATCCACTAATTAGTTATAGAAATAAACTGTTTAACACATTCTACTTTTCACAAAACAAAGGATAATTGAAATTTATTCTATTACAGGTATGACAAAGCAAAACCACTTTATCAAATAATGTTAGTCATCACTCTTCAGTACATTTCTTTTATGGGAATTGGGTATCTGATACCTTTTTGATCTAAAATGGAAATGGTTGGTCTTCAGTCTTTACTTATATACATGAACATTTGATAGAATAATTTTAAGTTTTTACAGTTCATGACACTTCACTTCAATATGGATTATGGTAACTACAGGCAGCAAGTACAGCCTGACATCAATATTGGATGTTGAGAAGTTTCTGAGGTAACCTTGTCCAATTCCCTGAAAAAGCTGTTTCCGTATCATTTTAAGTATCTGGAGTTGCTTGATGGATCTGCAATGTCTCTCTCAAAACAATTTCATAAATTTCAGATAAACATGAAGGTCACTCTTTCAATCAATCCTATCCATTTCAAATAATGTGTTGACCAGTTTGATATGGTAAGGATAGGCATTTTTATCTATTAGGATACAACAAGGACCAGTTGCATAAGCTCATGGTAGCATAAAGGGGCATAGATGTGATTTGTATTATGCATAGAATTTATAATACAATTCTACACAATGTATATGTCAGTACTACAGTAAAGCATATTCTTGCTCTCACCATACTTCTACCACTGCCACAATATGGATCATGTTTAAGTGTGAGAACAGAGTTGTGTCCATTTTTTCAGATTCTCTCTAAATGAGTATATGCCTGTTATCGGGCTGCAGGGTGAAGTGTTGGTCCACTGGATATGTTTTTGGCACTAAAAGGAATACTCTTCATTGGGCACCTGGCACATATATTGGCTTGTGAATTCCATTTCTATAACCATCTGTACACTGACATGACATTCAGCTGTCACTGTGAACATCTAATTCAGTCTTGAAGCAAGTACCCCACAATGCAGTGAGCCAAAATCAATGCACAGTGGTCATCTGCTTACATTGTGGATGATGATATGTCTTCTCCAGCATTCACAACAGCAACATTGGTTTGGATGTGTATTCTGTCAATGACACTTTGAAATATTTGTAGAGCTAACAGTCCACTGTGATTGGCTGATTTCAATTTGCCACATGGCTCTCCACATGATGGTTCATAAACAACTAGAGGCACTTCGAACTTGGAAATTTGCCTCAAAGTGACATGTGAGACTACCATTTACAACATAAGCTGAATGAAAAACTCACTGGCATTTCAAATTTGATCAATCAGCAGATGTCTAGATTGCACAACAATGCACTGGGTGTTTGTTTGACACTATTATATAACAATGGTCTTTGCCATGCCATGACTATAGTATTACAAATTCCAATTATACTTTAATTGTTTTGTGAAGTGTGTAATGCAGCACATTCTAAAATAAGTCATTTAGCCTCATATAGTAGCTTTTTCATGATAATACATTAGCAAAATCTTTATGCAGCTGTAAACAAAAATATTTTAAGTCTAAATGTATGTAGTAGATTTGCAATAACGTGTTATTTTCATACTGTTCATCATACTGCATAAATATAACGAAATTCAATCTAAAGTTTAAAAAACATGTTGACAATATTGGTTACAAGCAAAAGTACCCATCCCCAGTGATGGGAAAAGTTTAAGTTAATCTATCAATTTAAATTATTTCATGGACTTTAAAAAAGTTAATTGTGTTGTACTCTTGGTTTCACTTGGAGCCAAAGCACTGAGCTACTTATATCGCCCACTGCGAAAAGTAATTGTTGAGCATTTCAGTCATGCTAAGAGCTGCTCAACAATAACATCAAGTTATGTCACATATTAAAATGTGAATGATAGTTTGATTAATTCCCAACAATTTAGTGATTATGAAAAAAAAAAAAAACTTTGCAGTTCAGTACATTGTATCTCACAAATTGTATGCCATAGGAAGGTAAGATTGCAAAGGGGTGTTAAAGGTATCATGCTATAGTTGTCACTAGGGCACAACTATGACCTAATGTCTGATCAATTACAGCAACTATCTAAAATATGCTCCTCCAGCATCCAAACTTATTGCATCCTTGTGGCAACAGACATTACAACAACAACACATATCTCATCTGGTATGCTGGCCAATTCCAATACAGTTGCATCCTTGAAGTCTGGAATTCTGCAACACTTCCCAAATTACCTCTGCAACCAGAAATCAACTAATGTTAGATCTGGTGAATGAGGCAGCCACTTACAAGGATAGTGACATGAAATGATTCAGTCCTGAAAGTGCTCCTGTAAAGCGTGTTTCATTTTGTTACCAATATGTGGAGGGGCATTATCCTGCATGAAGACCATAGTGTATATCACACATCATTGCTGCAACATGAGACTCACACTGGTTGTGAGAACTGCATGTTACCATGCAGCACTGTATGAGCAGGTTTGTAGTTCATGTGGTCATGAGTTCTTCAAAAAAATATGGTTCAATAACAATCATGGAGGTATGTTGGAAAAGTTATATGTGGTTAATTTTTCAACCACATAATTCAGTTGCATGTGTTGACACTTCCAGAAAGGAGGAAGTGTGTTTTCTCAGTCCATAAGATATTAGCAGATCATTGACTTCCAGTCCTGCCATGGAACTGCAAAGCAAAATTAACAAATCAAATTAAATATCTCTTTGTCAGTTCTTGACTATGATATATTTTGTGAGGTAATATTTAAAAAGTTAAGTAAAGAGCCTGAAGAACAGTTGAAATTGGCAAATCCTGATATTGGGCAACACAGCATAAACTCTTAACCCATGTGTATTTGTGCTGGCTTGTTCTGCAAAGGAATGGCTGATCTTAGTAATAGTTTCTGTAGGTGTTGGTGTTCTGCCTATATGAATGTAATCTATATCCTCAAATTATATGAAGTTGCACATAGCAAACACTGGAACAAAGCTCTCTGCATAAGTTCAGCACTCTAAGATATTCTCCAAGATATGCCTCAGGATTGCATCCTTTGGTGTAATTGCAGTTCAAAAGTTCACCTCTCTCTTCACACTTGTCAATTTAATTTTAGATAAACGAGCTATACTGAGAACAACTGGCCCATTTATACCCATGGGAAATATGCTAAAAAACATAATGGCACCACTGGTGGCAATATGTGATGACTATGGCATTTGCATCCACGATTCCTTTAACACCTCTATGCAATTTCACTTTCTAATGTGATACTGCTTGCAAGGTATGACATGCTGAATTGCAAAACTTTATTTATGATCACCTGTATATGCATATTATGCAACAGACACACTTAATTAACTCTTGAACTGTTGAAATTTCTTTATGTCTTCAACCACCTTGTTTTTCTTGAATACTTTAATGTAATTGTGTTTCCTCCTGTCTTTTGTAGTATTTAAATGTAATTCTGTTTCCTTTTAACTTGTTTCTTGAACATTTAAGATTTATGGTGTTTTCTTCTTTCTTGAGTAATAATTTACACTAAAAGTACTATTAAAAAATCTATTATAGCATCCACCATCCTATTTTACATGCATAAGACTAATTCAGCTTTTGTTAAACTTTTTTGTATTAAATTCTGATATAAGTTTAATTTAACTTTTTTTGTGAATTTGAAACTATAATAAATTTGTTTATATTACAATAACACAAATATTCACCCACCTTTTGTGTGAACCGAACAGATTCCAACCACCTTTTGTATGCATATGGAACTCAAAGACTGTAATCAAATCTAACACAGGTTTGAACAGGCCAGATGACACACTTTTTTTTTTAGATTAGTTCAGTTTGTGATGGTAATTTAAGATTATGACTACTTTATTTTGATTGAAACTTTTAAGTTTTGAAGTGTAGTAAAGAAACACGTCTGAAAGTTATATAAAATTGCATGCTCTTTCCAATTATGTAAAAATCATATAAAATGTTCTAAAGGTTTTAGTGTGTATTTTACCATTTTTATCCAACATGAGATATTTCAATTTTATTAACTATTCTTTAAAAAAAATTTTTTTGCAGAGCTTCTCATTAATTTAACTTCTATTTAAAGGTTAGGAAAAACAAATAAAACTGTTATGGATTTCAATTTAAAGAAGTCAAAGCTATTCACATTAAATAACAAGATTTCTTGCTCCCCAGTTATCTCCCTCTGGTCATGAGCTTGGCTTTCATGCAATTATCATTGAATATCAAATCTTAATAATTATATTAACCACCATTTGCATGTGTGTGTGCTGAATTCCAATAAAGGTTCCTACTATATTGTAATGATGAACATTATAATATCACTTTAACCTACCTTGTCTTTTTGAGATCTAATCATGTCAACATCCCTTTCTTTAAAGTTGGGATCTTTAGCAGGGTCATCAGGAGGAGCTGCCTTGTTAACCTGGAAGAGAAAGTTAGGTGTAATAACACAGCTATTTACTTATCTCTAATTTTAAAGATATTTTCAATCACATTTTAAGCATTTACAAGTAAACTTTTTGAAAATGAAAAAGATAGCTGTGTTTCTACCTGCATAAATCTTTAGATGAACTTGTGTTCATCAGTACATGCATTTGTAGAAAATTCCACATAGAAAAAAAAAAAAGAAACAGTCATATGCTTTTACTAAAATATAATGAACTTACCACTTGAGGAAAATGAGTTGTGAATGTGTGTTTCCAGAGGTCAACTGATCTAAAAATGCAAAGATATTTTAATGACAGCCCAAATACACAAACTGCAATTTAAAATATTCAAAAGTTACACCATAAACGAGCATATCTAAAAAAACAAATTCTTAGTAATAACATGACAAAAGGCAACAAACTGAAAATAATCATACAAAAACAAATCATGAAAAAACTCATAAAAAAAATTACAAGTTATCAACATAATTTGTAGAGGAATAATAAAAATAGATTAATAAAACTTGGGTAATAGAAGTAGTATTAACAAAGTTCTATAACTGATTCTAATTTATAAGTTTGGATCCACCAGTCAAAGCATTTAACAATATGATTAGTATGGAAGTTGATCATTCAAATTGAAAAATCTACATCATAAGAGTGTATCTAAGCTTACATGATATTTAAATCATGAATTTCGAGTGTTCTTCATACATGCTTAAACTTGGGAATAAAATTCTTCAATAATGTTCAGTATTTTATAATTTTAAAATGTGTATGAGACAAAATATATTTGATTATAGAACTGCAGAATATTATGTATTAAAGTAAACATTTTTGTAAGTTAGAATTACCTGCTGTAAGATTTCCCTGGATCCTCGTCAGATAATGGCATGTTTCCTGAATAACATAATTAAAATTAGTTTTCCTAAAATTCACTAGAGAAGTGATATAAATGAGACTTTACATAATGGCAATAAATTTCAAAATCTCTAAGAATTATATTTCTTAGTATTTATACAAAATCTTAGCTTTTACAGCCACAGTGTATTTCAAAATCTTAAAGAAGAATGTGTTTAAATACATGTGATCTTCATTATCTCAGATAAACCCCTTTCTACAGCAGCACTGAATTTCTAGGTTTTAAATAACTATGTTTTAGGATTCAATTAAAATACCACATTTCTACCACATCATAAATTTCAAAACCTTAAAATATTTTTCAGAATGTAAAAAAAAATCCCTTTCCAGAAACAATAAAAAAACTGCTAATATTTGTTTACAAATACAGCAAAAGTCTAACTCGTACAAAAAAAATGTAAAAGTCTCTTTCTGCTACAGCAGCCAAGTTAAAAATCTCAAAGAACTAAAATTTTTTAAAGACTTTACATAAAAAACTGTAAATACTTTTCTTTTAAGACTCTTTAAGAAATTACCACATTTTCCATTATAAGTGTAAAATAATGTCTGTCATTATTTTATTAGGTATCTCATCATAAAAAAACAAAGTATTTAAAGTGCCACAATGTAATTTTAAGGAGATAATCCACATAACATCGTTGGCACATTGCAATAACTGTTTGGTACACTGGGGATGATATTCAAAGGAAAAAACGTCAAATAAGTATTGAGTTTGATATAAATGCATTGTCAAATTTCATAAATTTGTGTATTTGTAGTAAAACTGTGTCCATGGACTACAATAAACCTATTATGATTCTTTTTGGTGGGGATTCTCTCCAGCATATTGGTAAGAACTGTTATTTTCATAATTTGTAAAACATTGTCAGAATATTAGAAAACTGAAGGATACTTGGAGGATAATGCAAAGGAAAAATATATCTGTGTTAAGGGATACACTTAGATGAATTGTTGTCTTATCAGTTGTTTGATGGTCAAAGGAGGCTGGATGCGTAATGTTAACTTATACACATACACAGATCACTGAACTGTCTGTTTTGCAAAAATTGATGTAACAGTACTGCAATAACTAATTCTTTTCCTGTCAGTCACCTTCATAGAGACATAATTCCAAGATCAATGGTAACCAGATTAGTAGAACGATTCCTTTAGTATAGAAATGGAGCAGATGATGTTGTTAAGCATGAAAGTATACTGCAAATAGTGGCATTGATGCAATGCATGTCCTAAAATGTAACCTAACCTTGCCATTAATTTAAGTTAACTTCTGACAATATAATGAATAGTTTCTATACTCCACACATCAAGTATACTATCAGAACAAAGTTATAAAATGTTAAAATTCAAATTGCAACCTTCTTTACTATACACCCAATATGATAAGGTAATGCATGAAGGAAAAATCTGAAAGTTATAAACACATTTCGCTTTTTATTATCAACTTGATAAATGATAATCATATTCTCATTATTTTTTGGAGCTTAATTTTGTGTTCTTAAAGAATAAAATATCAATTAAAAGAACATGGCATTTTCTCTGACTTCATACACTGACTATTGCAGATGTACAGATGACCTATTGAAAAGATTGTTTTACCCAATGTGATAAAAATAACAGATGTGACTAAACAGAAATTTACAGTATTTTGTGCCTTTTTTGTCTAATTTTATGGATCATTCTCAATGGTTAAATACTTGAAGATTATATTGATTTAAATTCACCTAATTTTAGTAGAGACATGATCTGTATGAAAAGTTAACTTCAAATTCTATTAGGTTTTCACTGTTCACTTGCAAAAACTCTGCCTACAGGTGGTTGTTTGTGCTTGTAATTATTAATTGCATTATTTATAACTCATTTGAAAAATTTAGAAAAAGTGAAAATTTTCTGAAAGGATTTTCTTCTGGGAAGTATTGCAAAGGAAAAGTGTTCTGATTGTGCTCTTTAGTCATACCCAACTCGTTGTCTCAAAATGATTCAATGTAAAGAGCTCAAAATTTTCATAAATTTTACTGATATAAATTATAATGTTTTTATATGTTAAAAGTAGTACCATTTATAGAAAGAATATTAGTTTTTTAATATCTCCAGTTTCTCAATACTACATTTGAAAATTACATCTATAAAGATATAATCAAACCCTCACGTACAGTCCTAGTGAAAGTCGTGTTCTTGTTGTGAGAATACTTTTATTTAAAATTGTTCTATTATAAAAAAAATGGTTGTTGCACATACCGTAGTTATTTTTCTAATTGCCTGAATCTTGAATACCCAAAGTGTGAAATTTTCTATCGATTTTTGTTTGTGGTACCACTCAACAGATGGTGCAGAAGTTTTGGTTGCATACATAGGTACTGACATACACGCTATGTCCATTATAGTAAGATTTGCTATCTTCTTAAAATTCAAAGGAAAGGCAGATTTAGGGTAAAAACAAAAATATTCAAATAGCTTGCTAAAAAGGTAGCACTAACTGTTCTTTTAACAGCAAAAAAAAAGTCTGATCCCCTGTTCTGTAATTTTTCTGAAGTAATGGAATTATTTCCAAAACAATGTGTAACACTTAATTTTAATTGTACTTAGTCAATTTCTAATTAAATCAGAAAAACAATCACAAAATTTTAGGAGTTTCAGTATTTGATTGGTAAATTTCTAGGAAAAGACAATGATAACCAAAATGCTTTAATGAAATCAGTAGTAAATGAAATATGTGCACCATCCATTACATTTAACATGGTTCATACTGAATTGCTCAGATCAATTTCAAATACTTTTCAAGGACTTTCTAACCATTCTCAGAATGTTTTTCAAGCACTTTTTTGGAAGCTAAAATCTACATCAAAATCAATCAAATTCTACTGAAATTTTATAAAATTCCTATTTATTTGTTCAATATATGAATGTAGACTAAAAAGAAAAGATATATTGTGCTCAACTCCACAACATGTATTAAAGTTAGATATAATCTGCTACTATAATATTTTCAAGTACTTTTGCAAAAAAGGCTCCTTTTTAAGCACTTTCAAATCCTTGTATTTCCATTCTCCATTTCAAGGACTTTCAAAGATGCATATGCACCCTGATTTAAGTTAAGTATGTCTTAAAAATTAAAAACTCCACTTTAAAAGAGTATAAGCAAGAAAATTCCTGATGTGAATAAATGTGAATTAATAGCACACAATATTTTGCATTCAGATAAATCTGAACAGTTTTAATTACCATTAAAAATCAGGGTAAAAGAGCAGCTACAAGCTTTCCCCCTCAATTCAGAACTCTTATATTTCCAGATAATTTGCCAACAAAACAATAATTAATTTGATTCACTTTTGGTTTATCTTTAACCACTTATATCATCGTTCACCTAAAACTGTGTTAACTATAATAATAATACACAAAATTTATGAACTGAGTATTCCTTAACTAATGTGAAATTACATTCCAGTCATTAGTAAAGGTGTTTAAGTATACTAGCCTTAAAAATTGCCCAATCATTTTAACTTTATGGCTATATTTTGTATGACAATTTATATATTCATAATGCAAGAGAAAGCAAAAATTATTGTTCCAAACACTGTAAACACTCAAAGACATAAATTACTATCCTGAGAACTTCCTTATTACCACAAAAATGCCAGAATTTCATATTTATATTTCCTATGTAAACAATGTAGTGTTCCATGATTCAGGATTGACTAAGCAAACAGATACCTGATTGCTGCAACAATGAGAGAATTAGGGATCTAGCGATTTGTTGCAGGTGGAATGAAAGAGAAAAGATAAATGTGAACAAAATCACTATTTACAAGACAAAGTAAACAGGAATACAAGCTTATCAGCTAGGAGAAGGATTTTTAAATTCTTGTAATTGAAATAAAATTAATTGGTTAAAATTAAAGAAAGGAATAATTATATTTAAATTAGAGGGGCACTCAGTAGAAAGTATACCTCTGTCATGCAGTGTTGATCATATTCGGCTCTCAAAACATATGAAAATGTGATCGTATGCCCATCATTATCAATGGACATGAACTACTTTTGGCAGGAAAATGAGGAATAATATACTACATATGTCTACCAAGTTTCATCAAATTCTGATCGTTTTTGACTGAGTTATAGAGCAAAAATAGGTCCCATGTTAACAGATAGACTTTTTTGTAACCTTGACCCTTCAAAAACTAAATCACTTCTAAGTTGTATCATAGTCCTAATGTATACCAGCTTTCATCTAAATTCATTCAGCTGTTTTTGAGAAATCTTACTGACACACACACACACACGGGTGAAAACAACCTCGATCCACCTTCAGTGATGAAGGTAATCAAAATAAACTGGGTTTTAGAGATAACTTAAAAACCATGGACTATAGTAAAACAGAAGGAATACATTCACACTTAGTCAACATATAAATGTTATATAGACAATGGCAAGGATGACTTCAACAATCTTGACTTTCAGTAACAGAAATGAGCTTGGCCGAAAATATCAAAATTGCTCTCACAATTCATATTCTATTTGCAGCTGAACATTCAAAAAATTGGATCATAATCATCTAGAAGTACCATATGACAGTTGCAAAGTAGATCTATGAAACAGCAGATAGCCTCCTTGACCAAATTACGCTACTGAAAGGACAACAAGAATTGAATTGGCACACGACCTTGACTGGATTTACCATGTTCTGAACTAGAACTCAATATTTTTGTTAATATGAAATATATATCATAGGAGAGTGAGATATGTAGTATTTTCACACATTGAACAAGTCAGAATTTCAAAATTTCAATTTCTCTCTGTTAGCATGAAAATATTAAAAAAAAATGTTTAAGTGAAAATTTCTCACAAAAATATCATTGCCAAAGTGAACTTTCCTCAGCAAACACTATGTCAGAATTACACAATATGAATTTTTTTCATCTATGAATTTTACTTGAAATATTATAAAAATGAAAAGCCTTCTATGGGTATTAGGAAATCTAAGTAAAGAGAGTAACATAGAAGAAAAGCATGTTAAAAGTAATTTTTGGCTGAAACTTTAAAAATGGCTATACATGAAAAGAAATTACCAAATTCAAAAACAACAAATGTTAAAAACTTCAACTTTCATACATTCTTGGATTATTTTGATATAAGAAAAAAAATTATCATCATAAACTACTAATATCAAAAAGTTTTGTTCAAAATTTCATTTAAGAATTCCAAAAAAGAATCATTTATTTTCCTAAACATTAAATGTACATCAAAACCTTAAATTGCAACTAGTATACTAGGTTCCAGAATTTTAACTGTATGTATAACGTACAAATATAATTTTCCACTGCATCATATATATTGTTCGTACATGAAACTCACATGCAGAAAATCAACAAAACTCTCTCTCCTGACTTACCTTGCTGGTGTTCCAAATACCATGTGGCTGATTACCACTCGAGCTTTTGTAACCAAATTTTCAACTTTTGTGCTAACAAATTGCAGAGCAGCCCCATTGGTGTGAGCTACAAACCTCAAACAGCGGCAAATCACTTTCTTCTTTTCTGGATCAAGATCCTGAATAAAGCCATGTAAAAAGAAAATAAATTGGTCATTGAAGTTCATTAATGTAGTCATCATATAATTGGTAACAACACTTGTACTATATAATATAAAAATAAGTTATTGTTATGTAACTCGGGATAGTGAAAAATAGCACATGAATTTCATGATAATAAGACTGGCTTTTATATAACACAAGATATAGAAGAACACATATTATTTGACTTTGTTTTTCATTAGTACAAGTTACAGACATTTTACTCTACATTTCTTTTTATATGTACGATTTACTAGAATTATAAATATATATACAATATTGAAAATACTGATGGAAATGGCAAAGAAAATGTATAAAAGATAAATACTACATGAATGCCACCCTTTATCTTGTGAAAATTAACTGCACCAAAGTACAGTCATGTGTTAACAATTTACACCACTACTGGTTGTTCTCCAACCAAACAGACGATTTCACACTAATATATGGTATATAAAAGTACAGGCAGTCACAATATGTCCAGTAACAGTGTGAATCCAGTCAAGGCACCCAGGACTAAAATGCCATATGACATGTGTGTAAAAATCAAAGCTTTGGCTGGTCAAGAACACTCCATGCAAAAAATTGCAATAAGACTTCATATTTCAGTAGATGCTGTATGCAAGAATATGAACATAGTGTGTGAATATGTCACTGTTAATAACAAAAGTGGCCCAGTTAAAAAACTGATATTGCCAAAATATGATGTTAAATATTTCAGAGTACATTCTTTATGAGATAGACAACTGTTAAGTAGAGATTTTACCAATGACCTTGCTGTCAATTCAAATAAATGTTACCTTGAGAACAGTAAAACACTCATTAACACAAAGTGATCTCAATAGACATAGCTGCTCAAAAACCACTGCTGAGGACAAGTAAATAAACCAAAATGTTAAAATTGGCATTGGATTACAAACGGTTGACTAAGCAAAGCTGGAAACTGTGCTTTTTTACAGAAGTTAACATTTTCATAATCTGAAAATATATTTCTGATAGATACTCACTTCCTCACTTAGATTAGCTATCTTTATCTTCCTCACACATCTGCCTAAGAGATTTGCATGCTACTAGCCTTGAGGCAACTCTCACTTAATTTCATGTATTTGAACATGAAATGTATTGGTGCATTATGATGTCATCATGTAACAAAAGCCCTCCACCAATAGGAAGGTGACAAGATCTCCATGCACAATAACTCCCTTTGTACACTTGCACTCATGATAACTTCATTCTTTGACGAGGCGAGACAAAAATGTGCACCAGAAGTGTGGAGGACAGGTGGGAATGTGTGTGAAGGTGACTCTCTATCAAAAGTACATTTTCAGATGAGGAAAAAATGTTAACTTCTGAGATGATAAATCACCACTTCACACAGATTAGCTGGAATCCCACAATAAATTGGTGGAGAGAACAGTGAAAAAATTTTACCTGGATGAGCTACTTCAAAAAGTATCCAAAAGGAAGCCCATGAAGTGACATCTGATGGTAGGAGCTCCACAGGGACACACCCACTGTATCTCGTCTTGATCAGAGTATACTACTTTTGGAACACAAGCAGTTGGTGAGTCAATAGGTAGTGTGATTGAAGTGCATTCAGACCATACCTTGTGTTTTCACCTTGACTTTACTGATCAGACACTATGGGACAGACTCCAGCTGCAGGAAGAAGGCACTTTAGTTATGCAGTGTGGATTTTTTATAGTATGTGTGCTCAGCTTGACTCTACTGAACAGACACTAGCTGCAGGAGGAGGGCACACAAGTTTTGAACAGTATTTTCTGTACATTGTGTGCTCACCTTGACTCACCTGAACAGGTTCTAGTTGCAGGAGGAGGGCACAAGTGGTACGAGTTATTGTTTAAAGGGGTGACCCTCATTACACTGACAGTGTCAACACTGCCCTACTTCTCACCGTATTGTGTTAAGTCCAACCGGTGAGGATTCTCCCTAGTCCACCACCATAGCAGCTAAAAAAATGGTAAGTGGCAAGAGTCTCCCATACTCCAATTGACAAAGGTGAGAGAATTCTCATTGAAGAGACCTGGATAAGTGCTCGGATCCCCATCAGATTTCTAGCTAGAAAGGTCCTTTACTAGAGATAGTGCAATGGATGACTGTGAAATCCTATTTTTAAAAGCCGGAAATCATGAGCAAAAGAAATAGGCAGAACACCATCCTCATGCTAGCTTTTTCCATGATAGTCCATGGAATAGGTAGAATCTGGACTGGACAATTGAGTAAGTATATATATCACAAGGATACCTCAAGTGGTCTTGCAGAATGCCCTATCTTGCAGTGGGCACTGGTAAAGTCAGGGCAGATGTATGAGCACTTTCTGTTATCCCAGCTCAATATGGACTTTGGGTAAATATACTTTGGGAGCCAACACCATTCACCTGACAGGATCTTATGAAATTAAAAAGGAGCTCTGAAATAGAAACTGTACATAATCTTCTCAACAATGGTGATTGATGAGGTGAGAGATGAAAGCTAAAATCCAACAGGGAATGAATCAGTCAGATGGTGTATATAACAAAAGAACAATATGTGGGAGTTGTCTGCATGCCCACCCAGAGGATCTTGTCCCAGAGCCAGCAATGATGAGATGCAAGAGAATGAGGAAGGTGACAAATTATATGCAAAGAAATGTGAAATACCAGACCCATCCATGAAGGTTAGAATGAGAGAAGTCCCTGGAAAAAAAGGGGTCTCAGCGTAGGGTCAGATGATGGTGGGGATCACGAAAGTGTGAGGTCCATGAAAAGGAAAACCAAAAAGCTTGAACAAGACACAGGAGCTAATCCAGGTTCAAATGATCAAATAGATGAGAGATGGAAGGAAGGGAGATAGGAGAAAGTGGTTAAAGTCTTAGGAAGGAAAGATCTGTTCAGGGAGAGAAGTATACAAGTGTAATGGAAGAGGGTGTGAGAAGCATCCATAGCATAAGCAATGGAATGATGGTAATTGCAGATGAGAAGAAGGAAGAAATAAGTTTGGAAAGGAAGACAGTACAAAAGGAAGATGCCAACAGCTCAAACAGGGTATGTTTGAGAGTGTGGAAATTTCTACTAAGGTCTCAGTCAGGTATGGGAGTCGGGCAAGGATGTTGTAGAAAAATCAAGGAGCAAAACACAGTGGAGAGTACAGGAGAAGAAACACATTGTGGTACTGGGAAAGGCCATCTGATAATCAGCAAAACGCAGAGACTGAAAAACCATGAAGGAACAGCCACATAAGAAGGCAGAAAGGTGGTTTGTAGCAGAACGGCCAAGAGTAAAGAAGTAGCAGATGGATCACTGACAAAAGACCTGCCAATTTTGTTGATAAACAAACAGTGGAAGTGTGGCAGAAATATGACAAGAAGAATGCCACATGATTGAAGAGTCTGGTCCAACAGGCAATGGATCAGAAAAATCTCACACATGAAGATGGAGGGAAGATATCCCACATTAAAAAAGAGACATGAGAGGGTGAAGCATAAGATAGAGGGAAGTGGGTAGAGGAAGGAGATGGGTGAATGATAAGTGAAAAAGAATAGGAAACCAAGGCTGAGTTGGCCAAAGAGGCAACAACCATAGGATCTGACAACGAATGATGTGTCTCAAGGCAAGGACCTGAGGAAGGATATAGGCATGTAGAAGATGCGAGACCAAGCCTGGCTGAGAAAATTGACAGCCAGAGCTAACGGATGAGGAACAGTGGACCAGAAAATAGGAAGCCTAGAGAAGAGAAAGGTGTCAAAGGCATCTATGAGAGGCATGCCCAACAAAGAGCAATTTTCACAAAAGACCTGGGAATGTAGAGACCATGCCCCAAAGAAATGAGGAGTTCCTGGGAAGCCAGAGTATCCCAAAATGAAAGAATCTCTCACATAAGAGGAAAGAGAAAAGTGCAAATCTTGATGACCAGATATGTCATAGCTCACAAGTGAAGTGGAGAAGGCTCAACTGAGACTCAACTGCTTAGAAGTATCAAATATTGAGTGGCCATGAGAAAGGACTTACATCTCAGGATAATTCACCCCACAACCGATTAGTCTCCTGTAAAAGAAGGGAGGTGTGAAAAGAGGAAACCATCCAAGAATGGGCCAATAGAAGTCAATTGTCCAAGAAAAGTAATGCCAGCTCCAGACCTTGAATATGGTGAGCGAAGGCCCTCAAGATACCAATGAATACAATAGGAACTAACATTAAGTTGAAGGAAAGAGCTAGGAATGGTAAGACATGAAAATGATGGATAGAATGTAGAATACATATGGAAGAATGATTGAGAGTGATGTTTAAGAAGGTGTCTGACACATCAACCAGGGTCAACCACAGACCAGGTTGGAGGGAGGAGGAATTGAAATGGGAAGAGAAGCAAGGAGAGAGAGCAAGATGGAGAATATGCACATAAGTACTAATGCATATTAAAACTTTCTTATTTTGATAATGTTTTGTACCATTAATAAGTTCACCATCCAGTTACTATTACTCATTATTTGCAATTCCTATTTCTTTATCACTTGTGCATGCTTCCATAATTATTCCTATTTTTTGTGTATATGTTCATTTACTTAAACTAATTCTAATTCTTTTAGCAAGTTTAAAAGAAATATATAATATTTTTAGACATATTGATAAATTGCTAGCTCCTAAAAATAAAAACAACACTCATCACACGTACTTGAAAGATATCATATTTTGTTCCCAAAATAAGAAGAGGAACAGGAAATGGGTCAATCATATCTTTATCCTGTGTAAAGTGAAAAAGTTTTCAATTTATAGTTAAAATATTACATTTTAGAAGTAAAATGTCTTTAAAACAAGAACTCACTTTTCACATTGCCTCTGCTTTATCTTATTCTCAAAAGGATTTCCAATTCACTTGTTTTAAAACTTAATACATTCCACAACTCCTCTGACATGTACAACTCTACTCAGCATTTCTATCGAGTGCAATCTTTATGTTATAATTTCTTCTTGACAGTCTTTAAAGCTCAACAACAAAAACAATCTTCATATTCTTTTGTTTTTTTTAAGACAACCTCTTCTAATGAAAAGAAGGGCTACATAAGATGGTAAAGTGATTTTCCAAACTTAAAGTTGATAAAAAAAAATTATTGTTCGGAAGCAAGTAACACAAGAAAAGGTTTAACTAACTTGCTAACTTGTTTATATCCTGTTCACTACATATTGTAATATATTGAGTAGTTTTTATACTTTATATCTCTTTCAACTCTCAGTATAAAGAACTGATCAAACAAATTGTCTCAAAACACCAGTTTAATTTTGTATGTAAAATACAAAGGAAAAACCCAGGTAATTAGTGAAAATTACTGCAACATGTACACACATTGGTAATCTGGGGTTAATTTAGTCGAAAGGCCAAATTACATATAGATATCTTTTTATCATTATTTATATTGCATTTTATATTCCTAAATTTAGTTACAACTGCAGTTATTATAAACAAAATGTGAACACCCACAATTACAATTACTAAAAAGTTATCAAAACACTTTGTATTTCCCACATAACCTGTGCCATGATTAAATGTAAATCTCCAAGATAGAAATGAAGTAACATTTTAAAGAAATTTCTTCAGACTTAAGAAAACTTTATTACCTGTATCTTACAAAAAATATTTGTTTTGTTTATTTAAACTTGATGAACATAATGAAAGATTCATTTTTAGGCCATCTCGTTGTTAAATATATACAATTGTTTCAACTGAAGTTTGACTCAAGTGTTAAATATAGTTATTTTTAGAAGTGAGTTTATTGCAGGTTTGTTTATGTAACTATTTACGAATCATACGTTGTGTATTTCAATTGTTGTGAATTGACACTTGTTGTATTATTGCATCATGTTACTAGAACCTTTTATGATTTTCTCATTGTTTTGATTGAGTATTATTGCATCATATTTTGTAGTGTGAAGAGTGTTCTAGGCCTTAGTCGGGCTATAAATATGTGTACAAAATGTAATTACAGTTAGACAAATTTATGTAGTTTGATCTAGACTGCGCGGTTGTGAGTTTAGCCATAAAGAGTATATAGTGGCTATTTCTAAAATGAAATTATCACAAATTGTATTGTAATAACAGAGTAAAGAAGAAATAATTTGTATTGACAATTGTGTTCTAAAGTAATTGTGTGGACTTTAACGAAAAATAGACTATTATTTAAAGCTCTGGATACAACTGTGATAACCAACAGTGTAACAAAAATTTGTATATATGTTTGACTTGTTTTAATATATTATTTTAAAGCAAATGCTGTTTATTTATTGTTGAAATTTATCACCAACAAGTCACAGACACCTACTGTAAAGAATCCAGCCAATACATATACATAAAAACCTGACACTCCTTATTTACCAAATTTAATTTCCTATTAAAGTTCTATTCAAAGTGTGTGAACAATACGACATTTTCTGAAGAAGCTCAATAATGAAGTGAGCTGGCTCAATCATAGATAGTTTCATGAAAAACAATTTAATGGCTGGTGATAATGTAACAGGAAGATAGTGTTACACTTATTTCTGATACACTGTACATACATGTGTATAGTTGAGAAAAATTAAAGAACATTTTAAATTTGATAAGAATGTAAAATAACACAGGTAACACAATAGAAAAGAGTGTATTTAAACAAATTATTCCTGATAAAGTGTATTTACAGAACACAGGTTTTAAAAACACAGAAAAAAGTCGTGTACAAAACAAGTGATGAATAAATCTTTTTTAAGTATATCAGAAATACTACCCAATACAGATAAACTGTAAATAAAGCCTTCATAATTTACAATTCAAATAAATTTTAGAATAATTAGTTTGAATCTTGAATTTCATTGAAACTGTTTGTGTTCATAGCTTGAAAACCTAAATATACATTAGTCTAAAATCTGTATTTCAACTGAAGTTTCTTTCTGCAATTAAATTAAATTTACATGTATTGGCTTAAAATATTTAACTTTTTATATTCAAAGAACTTGCATTGTTTAGATGAAAACTGAATTTTCATTATATTTATGAAGTTCATAGATCACAAAACTATACATATGTTTATAACAAGTTTCTTCAAAAATTGAAAACATATATAGTTTTTCCATTTGAACCGTCTTAACACATTCAGTATTCACAAACAACTTGACATACAAACAAGTACTCTAAAATAGACAAATATATCTATATGTAGAATCTTTATAGTTTTTTTTACACTAAAAATGTTTATGAGGATATTGGAATTCTATATCACAACTTTAAACAAATATATATGTAGTATTACACACTTGTTATGATAAAATTACTTTAAGTAACTTCAAGTTCTGAAAATATTTAACACTTGGAAAATAAATAAACTATCGGGGTTCACTATGGAAAATAAAATGTTTATACTTTATATATCAAACACTAACTTGGAATTTAGCCATCAAAAAATCAAAATAAACTAACCATATTGTTATAGTAAACACCTCTACATAACTTCAAACAAAAAAAAACTTTCCAAAAGGTAATTCCAAACTCTTGTACACAACATCATACAGATAAAATAACTTTATAGTCACTCCAAAAAGCATTTTATATACAACATAATGTTACATACATTTCTTCCTACACTTATAGACATATTTATACAGACAAAGTAAAGTGAACCTATAATATCGATTACTTTTAAACAATTTCATATAAACAAAGTAATGTTACCATATTTTTGTTTATAAAACACATGTGAATGATTTCATACACAGAAAATAACTTAACCATATGGTCCTCTCCAATACGTTTCCAAGCTAGATCCATCAATGTCTCCTTTAGCCCAACAGTTTTGGCAGCAGAAGAGTTCAACACCTGGTTGATCTCTGAGCGAACAGCATGCAGAAGTGTTTCCATTGTAAACCACATTTCCTCTGGAACTGACAAGTCTAGAACTAGCACAATACTCAATGTGCTGGAAAAATTATAGATAGCTTAATTTAGTTTTATAAACCATATATATGAAAACCTAAGTTAAATATTTCTGAAATCAAGCAGACCATTAGCTGTTGAATGGAATACTAAATGTTTAATAAGACTGTTGATCCTCTCTTCTGTTGCCATTCTATAGCTAATACGGAGAAATATCTGAAAGGGAGATGTAAAACTGCCCAAGTTAATGGTTTTTACTGTAATTTGTTACAATATCAACATTTGTTTAGATTAAATTTCTATTTTGAAACATACATAGTTTATACTGTTAAATATTGTAACAAATTTGTTATTATATATCTATTTTAATATCAACGTTGTTTAGATTAAGTTTATGTTTAAAAACATGCCTAGCTTATAGTGTTAGATATGTATTGTGAAACTCCCGCCTGTTTTCCAAAGTTGTAGAAGGTTCTTGAGAATAAAAATCAACAATATATGTATATATGTAAACACTTGTATTGTTACGTAAGACTGAATTTTCTAGAAAATGTTGCCACACCTATAAATATAACTAACGTGCCGTGCCAAGGGAATGTCTATTATTAGTTCGTTATAGTCAGTGTGCTATAAACTTTGAAAACTACAACTGTGATTGTTATAATGCTTACCAATCAGAAAACTTCAGATATTTGACCAGGAGTATATATAAATTTTGAACATTACAAATCATTTAACTTCAGTGGATTTTCATCAGACATTAATGTTTTTGTAAAAACATTACCAACTTCAATGGTGGAAAACAGCATGTGTGGCCAAGGACAATGCTATCTAGCTAGCTTCCCAGTGAATTGTATCTACATCAACTTGAAATTAACTTACTCATTGTGAACCCTCGATAAGATATGAAGGAGGTTCCAGACTAGAAAGAAAACTTTATATCATTTGTAAGTTTGTGAAACTTCTGTTTATAAATCATTGTTTTTAATAACTATTTGTAATAATTGTTATTGTAAATTGTATTGTTGTGTGTATATTCAAACTTATTTGTGTTAAAAACGAAAATAGTGTGTATCAATCTTGTTGGCAAATATTGTAAATTGACTAATATATTGGCATGCATTTAAATACTAATTCCAAAGGATAATTTAACTACTAAATTTAAATTATCAGTTAATTCGGCTTCAGACTATTCGAAATTCTTATACATAACATTACAGATAGGTCAACCTGTCTTATGATCTGGTAATTAGATAAATGTTTTGATTCCATTAGACATATCTTCACCAGAATGCTTAACATTTTGTTCTAACATTAAAACTTGTTTTTGACAATCTATTCCTAAAAACCAACAGAGTCAAGTGAAAGATAAGTATCATTTAAGTGTTTCCATAATTATTTCCATTACTGTATATAACTACGTACATATGCACACACAAAATGATTGTTGGTGTAAAGGTATCTTGTGAGCTTCAAAACTGAGAATATGAGGAGATTATTCGTACACTAGCATACTATAGGAATTTAGACAAAAGACTAGATCAAAACTGTTGTGAGAAATTAGTTTTAATTTTGTTATTTTACCCAACAACCCAATGATATTTACTGTTCTGCCACATATTATCATCATTTAACACCAAGATTTTAATCATGCCAACTGTTCTTTAACATCATATCATTTCACAACATACAAATGACTCCAATGAAATCATCACTTTATACAAGCACAACATTAAAATGGTACCAAATGTTTTAGAATGTATCACCATTTCCTAGTGTAGCATTATACTGGTGATTAGTGCCCTACAACATATCTCAATATGACATCAAACAAACATTATAATGATATGCACTGCCATGTCATTAAGTTAACATTAAACTGATGCCAAATGTTTTGCAGTCCTGTATAGCTATGTAAATCTACAACATATTCTGTTATCAATTTTAACATCAGACCAACATCAAAAATGAAGATAAGCTACCCTGTAACATAATACATACATTTAATGACAAGCTTATATCATCACAATAACATAAAAGTTATTAAACAAGACAAAAATACAAGTAAGAACTAAAATACTAAAACTATAATTAACACTAAAATAAAAACTTACAGCACAAGTTATTAGCACAACTTATAATACAAGTTAGAATTAAAACAGACACTATATACATATAGAATAACATAGAGCTAAGGCAAAGAAAGTTACAAATAAAATAGAAACAGATCAAGCATAAAACAGAAGTAAAACAATGGAACTTACTATCCATTTAAAAAATAAAACAGCACTACTTAAAGAAAATGTGAAAACTAAAACATCACAGCTAACAGTAAAAGTTTGAAATAAAAACACAACTTGTAAAAAAATTTATGAATTTAAAACAGCATTAATTATAATTTTTGTTTGTGGTGCCATTCAATAAATGATAAAATTTCATAATCCTCAATCACTACTTCTGGCATTGAGATCTTGTATTTATTATTTCGGTCATATAGATTTATAGACAGCCACATCATTGCTCCATTATAGTAAGATATAAACTATAACCAAAATAACAACACTAACACAGTATGTTTCAACCAAAACATAACAACTTATGATTGGATTACAACTGGAACAGCATTGAAGTGTAATTATAATTATAGAACAGTTTACTATAAAAGCTGTATTACATATACATGTTCTAAAGATTACTACTACTACTACAATGTGATGACTTACAACTTACTTTAGAGACTCCATAGTTATTGGAATTTCCAAAAGCTGAGTGAATAAAGTTCCACCACCTAGCTCCCACATATGACATACTTCTTTAACCTATGCAAATTAAAAATTCAAAAATATTCAGTAATTTTCTTCTGCTGTACCAAGAAAGGTTATAACAATTATAAATATAATAAAAGTAATGAGCATTATTTACATTTACTTCAAATAACCAACATACCAGTTAATACAGAACTGGCTTAGTTATCACTCTAAATATTAAACAAATGCACAGCATAATTTTTTGTTTTTAATTGTGTTCATCTACTGCTGACTGTTATCTGAATTGGTGAAACATAAAAGTTCTTACAAATCAAAACATTCCAAGTATCATATGATCGTTTAAACTATTTGCTCTTGCACAAAGTTACTTTTAGTGTGAAGATTTATTGTTATAGAGTCTTTAATTAATAAGTAATCAATAGCAGGGTAATGGCAGAATATAAAATAAACAGCAAATAGCCTGATGTCAAAAACCAAATGAAGAAGTTGCAAGGTTACAAGAAATCGATAAGTAATAAGCAATAAAATTCCATTATATTAAATGTTTATCATGATATTAGGTAAACAAGTTACAAGTACTGATGTGATCTGTTATTAATAGGCTCTTATTACAAATGTGACAGTAGAAATCATATTAACTTAATATGATGCCAATTAAAACTAAAAACAGCAATACTTACAGTACAGTGCAAACTAGAACTAAAACAACACTGCTTATAACTTGAAATAAAATAACACAACTTATAATAAAAGTTAGAACTAAAACAGTACTAATTACCATAAAAGTTAAAACATCTAAAACAGCACAACTTACAGTCCAAGTAAAATTACAATAATACACACTATATTTTATGATTCTTACTCTGTGTGTGTGTGTGTGTGTGTGTGTGTGTGTGCGCGTGTGTGTAGTGTTTACAACAATTTTCATTAAAATTATACAAAACACTGTTTTAGAACATAACCCATTGGAATATATTTTTTGCAACACAGAGATGCTAGCAACAAAGTCTTGTATTTGCAGTCCAGGCACAACAAACCACAAGGCTGTGCCTGGCTCACTAAAACTAAACAATATAGCACTTTCATGACTTTTGCTCTGTGTGTGAATATTGTCACAGTGTATACAACATCATTCTCATTAAAATCAAAGTAAAACTACATAATATGAATAGTACTTGCATGATTCTTATACTCTGTATGAGCATACTCACAGTGTCTAATCCTCTACTGCGTCGTCCAAAAAGATATTCAAGAGCTAATGTTGGCTTGGGATTCTCAGCACGTTCCACGAAACGATAAATAATGCTTGTCTTACCCTTAAACAAATAATACAAGTTTACTCTTGAACTGTATAATACTTGCATAAATTAGTTTTAAATACTTGATTTAATGCATGAATCAAAATGAACCAAATAATGTTATCAATTCAATCAAGAATACAATTTTGAAAACCTCAGAGAAGGAAGTGAAAAAAAAAGTTTCTCAATATTTTCACAAAAACTTAAATGAAGTTAAACTCACTCCTTGCTTGCTTCCAACAAATACAACTGTAGAATCTTTGTGACAGCTGGTTACTAGAAGGAAAATAAAAAAAGCTTTATAAAACACAGATTTAATACAACAATATTAGTTTGTTACAACATATCTACTAATCTGTGAAAAATAAAACAATATGCATGTTATTTAATGACTATGCACATGTAATGTTAATTAATAACACTTCATTAGATATTTTGATTAAATATATCATCAATTAATACTATTTAACATACATCATTAAATAATATTAATAATTAAACTAAATACTTTGCTAAAATACAGCAAAAAGATGTATTATTTTATCAATCATAAAAATTTAAAACAACACTTCTGGCAAACACAAAATATATCAAGTTTTTTATTAAAACCTGTTCATTTGAATCTACTAATTTTTAATGTATTCCACATTAACAAACTTAACTTTTGAAACATGATGAGTAGTGATGCAATATTTCTTCAGTGATAATTAAATATCCTTAGCACAATAAAGTCAAAACATGTTACTTGAATGTTTCATTAGTGCAAAGTTCAACTTATATAAACAACTGTAAACTATTCAGTTAGATGCCTTATATTTACAATTCTTTAAAGTGGGCTTTATGTTGATAAATTTTAATATTTGAAACAGTTTTGTTATTGAAATAAATCAAAAATAATATAACATTTTCTTTAGGTTAAAAACACCACTACAATCCAGGTTTTGTTTAACTTTTATTAAATTGTTCTTAATTAATCCTTACTAGAAAAAAAAACAAAAACTTTCCTCCTTTCAAGTTTGTCATGTTGCCAAATATTATAAATGTCTCTGTTTTTAATATTTGAAAATACATATAAAAACACTTCCTACTTTCCTTTTTCCTAAACTTGGAAAATATAATAAGCATCTCTACATTTTAACACATTAAGACAAAGCAGAATTTAAAATTTATCCTCCAAATTACTTTTAGAATTCTGTCATAATTTAACAAAAACATTTCCTATTAACTTGTGAAAGAAAACAGTTACACTTCTAAACAAAAAAGGCACATAACTATCTTTTCAAGGAGCATAAATTAATGTATATTAAAGAAAACTTGTCTATTAAAGACTGAGTTTTCTATAACATGCTTATACAAGATGAAAATTAAGATAGGAGAGGGTGGAAGGAAGAGATTCCATGGCATTGAAGGATAAAATAGAGGCCTTTTCTGATGCTTTTCTGTGTACCAGTATAATAGTTACTAAATAACAGACTGAATCTCAAGCCATCAGTTCAGCTTTATACCCACCACTATAATACATTTGTCACATTCACATCTATAGAACATGCACATAATTTTTTCAAACACATTAACTCCATAATCCCAAATATCAAGTTCACCAGTGAATATGAAAAAAAATAAACAACTAACATTTCTAAACCTCAATATCACAAGAACAGATACACAGTATAAAACAAAAATCCACGGAAAAATCAATCATACTGGGCTATACCTTCCCTGGAACCCTCGGGACATGAAACAAAACAAAAAACTCAACATACTAGAAAACTTAATAAACACAGCCACAAAACTTTATTCACATGAAAAACTTAAGGATGAATTCACTCAATTAAAACAAGACTTTATCAACGTGAGTAAATTTCCTACAAAAAAAGGAATTATTCACAGAAACCACAACCAACAACACAATGGACAACCAACCAACAATTCAAAAGACAGTTAAACAACTAACAACAAAACACTACACTGCTGCATATCTTGCATTCCAGATATTTGTGACAAAATAAATAACATTTGGAAAACTTATAACCAAACATAACATTCCACTATACACAAAATTCATTAAAAAACAGGTGCCAAATTAAAATCTATACTATGTAAAACTATTATAATAAACATAATACTAATGTTATTTATAAAATACAATGCAACAACTGCCACAATTTTTATATTGGAGAAAAAAGCCAAAAAATGGAAACTAGATCAAGTTAACACAAAAAAACACCCTCCCATGTTATTGAACATTATCTCAGTAAACACAATATAACCTTAGCAAACACTAACATATTAAGCAAATAAACCAATGTAAACAAACAAAAAATTAAAGAAGCTCTTCTAACACAAGAATGTAAGTCCATATTGAACCAGTACCAAGAAACACTTTTATATCTATACTAATTATTCATTAATGTAACTACCATATATAATAGATTAAATATATACAACACCCGCTATAATCTTACACCTATCATTACTGTCATCTCCACAACATGTGATCAATAATCAAATTACTTTTTCAAATCTCATTCTTAACCTAACGAAGACCTAAGGAGGTCGAAACACTTATTTGTTTTGTGTTTTTAAATAAAAGTTTTTAATACCCATATAAGCCATCTCTGCCATATATGTATGTAAATGAAATTTAATACATTGTGTTGCATGTAGGTTAAATGTAGATTACAGACTTGTCATATTTTAGCCTAATAACAATAACATGTTCTTTAATACGACACTATTGTACGGCCAGTTTCACTGACATACAAGGCATTACAGTTGGGAATAGTGTAACTCAGAAGATTTATACCATTATAAGTTTGACAATTAAAGATTTGTTTGATACAATTTTGTCACCTGTTCTAGTATAATCAACATATTCAGAGTTCTTAATATAGTTCCAAATGCAACATTGGCAGACTATACAAGATTGTGATCCTTTGTCCATTTTAGGTTTAACAGTGGAAGAAAACCTGGATTTTACAAGCATATCCTTCAGAACTGATGAATGATGGTAACTGGTTATGGAAGCTTTATTAAAGTGATCTTTTCAAGATAAGTCTTTCATTAAAATATTGAGGTTGTTTGTAATAATTTGTTTGATCCTTCAATACCTTTTGAAATATGTTTAAAAGACCACTCTGTCAATGTCTCTGTTTTTATGTGCTTGACATACTGAGGGTGATCTAAGAAGAACTATATGTATAGTTGTTTGTCAGTTAGTTTCTTACAAATTGAATTTGTCAGATGTCAGCTCAGTTGGGTGAGGAAATCAATTAAGCTCTCTGTGTCATATGACCAGATAATAAAAAAAAAAAGTCATCTACAAACCAAGTCCAGAAAAAGATCGTTTTAGTGGACTTTATTCAAGAAAGAAATGTTGATGCTACCCATATGGATTATCAACTCTCCCACAATAAAGTGAATGAATGATTTGTTAATTTAAAATAAATTATATTTTTCTACATGAATTTGAGAAATCTTTTAGGCAATTATGAAATGTCTTTTTCATCTGCAATGGCAGCAAAAGTTTCAGCCATTGCTTATATGAATGTATGATTCCTTTCTAACAGCTGCGAGTAATGAAAAGAACTGCTTAGTGTGTGTTTCTTTCTCTCTCTCTCTCTCTCTCCAGTATTCAAAATAAAACTTACAGACTGGATTTTCCAGCAGACAACCTTCGGGCCAAGTATGGTTCTTTGCAATAAACTATAGTTCTCTACACTGGACTGAACAAGTTGGCTGACTAATGAAAATTACAAACTTGATGTTACATTGTCTTCAATCAAACATCACGCTAGAAAACTCATTAGCTGAAAGAAAATCATTATTTTATTGAGGAACTTCTTGAGCAGAATATGACCGCTTTCTCTTTGTCACAATTCAGCCACTTTGCCGTGAAATGTTCTTTTGAGTTTGTTTTGATTATATTTGCAATTGGCCTCTCTTTTTGAAGACTTTGTGTTTGGTTGCTAGTGTTTGTCACAAAGTTAAAGCAAAAAAGCAAAGTTTGCTTAACCATTTCAGATCTATAACATACATTTATGTCTAATGTACTGGAATATGCAAAATGTAAGTGGTAGAAACAAATGTGATGTGATCAAAATTTTTTGAGTGGCAATCCATTATAGGTCGTAAATTGTGACAGGTTTGCAAGATGCTATAACAACCACTCTTATCGGTAAACAATGTGTGTAGTCTTGATAATCACATCCTTGCAGAAATCAGAGCATGATGCATGGAGATATACTACTTTTAATCTATATAGTACTCGTACGCCAATACGAGTTAGATGCCTAGAATTCTATGTGATTGTGCCATGTTTCAGTTGTTTTACGAACAACCCAGTAGTGCATTTGAGTTATCCAGTGATAATTTTGGTTGTCTTCAATAACGATAAACCACTTATTTTGAACCCTGCTCTCTCAATGTGAGCTTATTCCATGATTATTTTTCATTTAGTGTATGAATTTTTGCTATGTAAAGGGTATTTTGTGAGTCACCAATCCTACAAAGTTACATTTTTGAGACAAATATATGAGGTTGGAGGTTTTAATTTTATTTGTCAAGCTACATTGTAAAGGACAAGTACGGTAAGATTTAGTACTTTAATGGGTAACAACTCTGTGAAGTATCAGAATGACCAAAGAACAGCAATTTAGATCACTCCGCTACTTGAGAGATTCCTCGGAGTAGAAGATACTAACTTTGTTTGTGATGTCTGTCTGTTTACTTTCTGCTTTGAGTTATTGGTCCACAATGGGTTTTAATGTGTTTTCTTATTATGTATGTCACAAACATATCATAACAGCCTATATAGCTTGATATATTATTGTGAAAAGAAACTGCTATCTTTATTTAGAATTACAGAAGGAGTTAGTGTCTCTTGGAACAAAACAGGAAGTAATGACATTTTAGAATCAATAATATTGCACAAAGAAATTAAAAAAGTAATTTCTATTTATCTATTGTGTTCAGAGGCTGTTGTGAGAAGTACTTAGTTAAATTCTGCAAATTGGTCCTTTATTAGAAAACAATGTTTTAAATCTTTCTTCTTTGAGTTAGTAGAATGCAGTCACTTAATCTGATATTGTTCATTTCTTTTCAAAAGTTCTCAGTTTTCTAAATGTATTCGTTCTCTAGCTTAAATCTTTCAAGTTTCTTTCTCCATTTTATTTATTTTTTAGTAAGTCAGCATGTAAAATACAGTTAGTACAATATGTGATGTATTTTTTAAAGTAAATGGTATCAATGAGGACAAAGTTCATAGTTTTATGTAAATCAAGCATGTACTTTATAAGGTTTGAAAGCAAAATTTCATTTTATTTTTTGTACAAAAACAAACATTAAAGTTACATACTCAAAACAGGATGACAATCATTTGCCATCTGACCAACTGCAAAACTTATTGAATAACAGTTGTTAAATTTTGAGACTAACTAATAAGACTCTTGTAAATGTATATTTTTCTTTAAGATCTAAATCATTTTTGCTAGTATGGAAGTTTTTTTATTTATTTTCTATAATGTTATAGACAGCAAAAGGTTTAATTCAAGTAACTGTGCAATTAAGTAATAAGAGTAAGAATTTATTTTTTGTGTACTTTGAATATGTACCTTCTTTCTATTTTTCTGCAACATACTACATTCGATTTCACAATCATTAAATCCCATGTCTCTTGAAGCTGGCTTATTGCAAGATCACACAGATGAAGCATCACAATGTCAAAATTAGCCTACATTTGAGCCTATAAGGTATACATATAAAGGAATACATTCCAAAATTGTTTCTCTTGGCAAATAATCCAAGTGTATCTGTCTTTTCATACATTAACAAACATGATAAATGTTTTTTCTGTTTCAAATAAAATAAACACATAAGAATACTTCTTAACTTTTTTCAATACTATAAAATACATGTATAAAAGCACTACTTGCCGTCTTCTTCTTTCTGAGCTTGCTCTACTGCCAAATCCCATAAGTTGTCCCTGTGCATCAAATACATGTATAAAATTTTCAAATTAAGTAAATATATTTATAAATATAACCACTTGCTCTAGAAAGTAAATCTTTTGGTGTTCTCAAAGTATTAAAATAAGTTTTTATAAAAAAAATGTCAAGAGAGACGTGATCTTGTGTATTCTATCTTAAATGTAGAGGTAATCTAATTCATATTTTTTTTAAAGTGGAGGAAAACTACCAATAAGTGATATGTTTGAGGGGTGGAATGTTGAGATTATAAATAGATATTTAAATATCAGGGACAATAAATATAAACTTTGGAGACCCCTGTATAGAATTTGACCTAAGGTAGAAATATTTTGTTAGAGTTGAAAACCCATTGAATAATTTGTGTTGAACTAGTATTTGGGTGCAAAGGGTTATACTTAGCATAGTTTGGTGAATTGGATGGTTGTGAAGAGATGAAAGTGATGGACTTAAAGGACTTTGTTGCTTGGCTTATTTTTCTGTCAGTATTATTAGTTATTCATAGTTATCTTTAATGTATATCTATAACATAATTTTTTGGAATTATGTACACAATGTCATTGTTTTTATAATGTTTCATTGAAAATATTTTTATATATATATTTAAATTGATACTGATACCCATTCTAGATAAAGTATTGACTATCTAGGTTTTTATAGGTAATGTAAATAAATCAATCAATCAAGGAAATGCTCAGTAGAACACTTAGTCCAAACTGATCTACATGGATGTAGTTGTGAGAAAAAAATTACTAGAATTAACTGATTATAATTCCTTCCTTAACTAAGAAAGGGAAAGCTTATCTTTCTTGTGGATAATTTGTTTTCCTACCATCAATTTCTTCCCAAAAAAAGTTGCATCTAACCCTGATCAGTTAATATTTATCAAGCCTTCCCTTAGCTCCCATAAAAGTTTCTGAAAGGAAGAATGTCACTGATGGCTTAGTTAGGTGGTGCATAGAAGTTATCCAAATTTATTTTGATAAGCAATATGATGGTCATTGTTGATAAAGTAGAGAACATTTCTTTAATTCCAGATGGTTTGAGTAGTTTTAGTGAATTTTCAAGAACTTGGAAAGAGTGATTAAATATTGAAAATTATAAAGAGACATTTGGTCGTAGAAGTTTGGTAAAAATGTGTTTCTTGTGAGAATGACAGTGGTATTGTGAAGAACGAAAAGAACTTAAGTGTAACTATGGATAGAAAATTAAAACCTTTGGTCAAATATTAGAAATTAAGATCTATTTACAGAGGTTTTAAATTTAAAGGGTAAGAACGTGTTTATCATCTTATGACCCGAGTGAAACCAACTTTTGGAATAATTTCTTCAATTTCTGGTTATACAAAGGATATTTTCATGTCATAAATGGTTTTCATAAGGGAACTAGTTTTAATTTAGCATTTTCCTACACTGAAAATGTACTTCCTATTGATACTTACCTCTTCTTACAAAATTGCTTTTCTCACTCTATCGGTGCAAATTTTCAATGCATGCCACTAGTCTTCCATCTCGCACTTATGCATATCCACATGCAAATGATCATGCAGCAGCTCTCCATAAATAGGAACTCAACATCACTCCTATCTGAGCTATCTCAACCAGCACCGTCTTCACAACTGCACTCGTTAACCACTTCAAAATTGGTCAGAAGACCCACACCATATATCATTGGAAGTGGGGATGCTGGGAGGGAAATGTGAGTGAGGAGGTAAATATCTGTTGGAAATATATTTTTCCTCCAGTCACAAAATAGCTAGAATCCCACACTGAACTGGTGGAGGACCAATAAAAAAAAAATGATCCCCTTTAAGAAGCACCCAAAGAGAGACCAGGAGGTGTGGAACCAAAAGAGAAAACCTCACACCTCAGCAGGGGACTGCACCACTTCTGATCCAGGTATACTCCTTGCTCTTTTATGACAATGTCATAAACATAAAAGGCAGAAAAACATGAAGGATCCCCAGAATATGTATGACCGATGAATAGGACTCCTGTGTGTTGAGTGGGTAAGGCGCAACAGACTGTAGTGGTAGTTTGACTTCATTCAACACCAGGTGGTATATGGAATGGTACATCAGATCTGCGGTAGGTAGAGGATCACCTACCTCTTCACCTCAAAAGTAGAATTGGTAGGGAAGGCGAGCTTTCATACCAAAATCCATCACCTATTGCATGAATTTCAAACACAATAAACACCAGATCTGCCAGGAACCAACATCCATGGTAAGAAGGTGGAAAGCCCTGGCAGGATGACATCTCCGATACAAAACCTGATGGCAATAGGTACAGTACTTCCAGTCAGTGGTAGAAGGAGGATATCCAGTCGTACACAAGCAGGAAAACATTGGATGCGTCCAACCACAACAACAACACTAAATTTGCCAGAACTGACATCCAGCAAGTGGTAGAAAGAGGGACCGCAAACCTGGGTGCATCTCCAGTCCAAAACCTGGCAGCAGTGGGTATTTAACACTCCTTTGTAGAAAGAGGGATACCAGCCAGCACACGTGATGACTTACTTAGCTGGACCTCCTCCAACCAACACTGGATCCACTGGGAATGTACATCTTGAGGATGGTAGGGAGGAGAAACATCTCAGCCTGAAGAGCAAACTGCAATGATATATATATATATATATTTGTAACATGGTGAAGTGCTTCAACCAAAACCTGGTGGCATCTGAAAATGTACATCAGGTCCACGGTAGGAAGAGTGTCATGCCATCTACACATGATATTAACCATAACTGGGCCATCTCCAACCAAAACCAGAACCACCAGGAATGTACATCTGGAGGATGGTAGGTAGGAGGAATGCCATGGTCAGATATATAGACAGGAATACAATGCAGTGCTACAACCAAAACCTGGCAGCACCTGGAATTGTACATCAAGTCCACTGTTGGCAGTGCAATATGCCAGTGACACCTACAGAATGCCACTGCCTTACTCTCAACTGAGTGGTATGATTCATCACTCAGGAGGACAGCAGCCATACTCCACCAGAAGAAAGGAGGAAATAATGTGTTGGAGAGTCTGGAGAACGGGATCACCAGAGTGCAACGGGTGACCACGATACTCTATTTTGAAAAGAAGAGCTACGAAAGGTTGCTTTTTTTTTCAGGCATTTCTTACTTTTTCAGGAGCCTTTTTGCTATTGTATTATGAATCACACTCTATGGCAAGTAGATTTTGAACAGGTATACTTTTTTTTTTAATCCACACTGTTCATCCTGCAACTATGCTTGATGTCAGTTATGTTTTAGCTTTTCATACTACAGACCTGATGTACAATCCAGATGCTGCCAAGTGTTGGTTGTGTGTCATCTATGCCTAAATAATTACATTGCAGAATTGAGTTATGCATGTCATAGAGATGGAATGTTACATGTGGCTCCTAATAGTTTTCTCTAGTGTTTTTTTTGTATCATAAATATGTTCATCCTGAACCATACACTCATGGAATAACATGAGTAAAGCAGGCAGAGATTGCTGTCCATCTCTGATGCTCCACAGCATTGAAACTCTTCCTACCACAGGTCTGATTTACAATTCCATATGCCACCAGGTTTTGGTTGATCAACTCTGTCAATATGGCAATACCAAAATGAGAAATTTTAAATAAATAGTAAATAAAAACTAAGTCAGCAGTAGAACAAAAAATGTCGACATATCCACAATTAAAAACCAGCAAGTCTGTACAATACTAGTGCCAATTGAGAAGTGATTAACGAGTGCAAATGTGAAGAGGGCACTGGCTATGATATAAGTGATGTTTGATCATTTGCATGTGGATATGCAGAAGCAAGAGGTGGAAAGTTAGTGGTGTGACATTAAAACTTTGCATCGATAGAGGGCAGTGTTGGTTGAGAAAAGCCATTTTATGAGTGGAGGCAGGACATCGTATCAGAATTTTACACTGATAAACATGCCTGTGCTTAGTTTAATGTAATAATTTTTGTTGCCATTTTTTCAAGACAAGAGAAGCCTATGAGTAATTGAAGATGGAATCTTCAACTTTTAGCCAATGACAGTGTTATCTATATGTAAACCAATGTAAAGTTTATTTATGTTTTATGAAACTTACATGGACACAAAATGTTGTCCAACTAGTAAGCTGAATGCTCTTGACTTCACTTTGCCCTTCCAACTTACTTCTTCTCGCTAACCAGGCACTGGTTATGAATTGGTCGCTGCCAGTGAAAGTGGGTTTTCTTGGGGTACTCCTGTTTCTCCCCACATCAAATTATTGGCATAGGATTTATAGATTCCCGCCACTCTGATGGATCATCTGTCCTATATCGGCCATTTAAGTTTTTAATTACGCTTATTTAAGTCTACACACTTTTTTGTTTGTTTCAATTTCTTGTTTTTACTTAAATTCAAGCCCATACCTCTAGTCCACGCGTGGGGTGAAGGAGGATTGCTTAATCTTCGAGCACCCCCTGATTATTATTTATTTTTTCTGAAATAATTAAGTTAAAATCAAAATAACTGCCAGAAATAAATAAATAATACATTTATTACTTCTTGTGGTTTACAATTTATTTTTACAAATCTACAGTATGTGGACATTTCAACTATTTAATTATTACCTACATGTAGATAGTAAAATAAATATTCTATACATACGTTGGCATCTTCCTTCTTTTATATGGAGAACTTCAGGATCAATGATGCAGACACTTCCATTCAAAAATCTTTAAATAAAGAACAATATGTCAGTAAAAAATATAATTTTAAAAGCATGTACATTCTTTTTTCTTCTACATTAAACACATTTGTCATGACAGCTTTTAATTTTTAGTTTCATGTCAAGTAAGAAAAACCCATTCTACAACCAGCTAACCATACAAGTTTCTATTTATCATCCAACCAGCTACGTGCACATGCAGATAAACGTGTTAGGAATATCATGCAGTGCCATTTATCACAGTATGTATTATTCAATTACATTCTAAAGAGATACACAATTTTTTCTTTGGTATGAAGTAAGCATGTTTCATTACTATAAATTATATGTCACATAAGTTATTTATATCACTTATATTAGAAATTAACTTGGCAGAGTGCTGTATAGTTCATCTTGATTTCTATCAGCTTTTGTTTCTATTTCCTCTTGTTTCACTTATGCAATTTTACATGGTGAAATACATTTAGACACTGCATTATCAATATTCGACTGTTTCATACACATTTATTTACTGTATAGACAGTACATGTAATTTATATTTACTTGTCAAGTTATTTAGGTAGATGACTTACTTCTAAAAATGTATATGCTTTAATGATTCATATTTATACAACACTCAGACAGTACTGATGAACATTATATATGCAATAAATTTTAATAAAACTCGAAAAAGAACACCACAGCATTTATAAAATATGGATGTAATACAACCTACTGATTCAAATTACCAAGCATTTTTTATGTAATACAACATTAAAAGTGTACCACTGCCCCTAGAATCCTCTTAAAACAACAACAAAAGACCTGGATGCATATATCCAAAAGCCAAGAGTTTGGTACCAATGAGCAAATTAACCTTTCATTAGGCCCCAACCTCTATTGAAAATTAAAAAAAAACAAGTGTTGTCATAACAATAAAATTAATTTTATCTGATTAGAATTGGTTTTACACTTTGTAAGGTAAAGCTAGAATAATTAAAACTTTTAATTCACAGAATATGTTAATGTTATTTCAACTTTGACTTAGGTTACTTTAGGTTGACACTCATTAATCAAAATATTATATTGTTGTAATGAAAGTCTTTCTTCCATTATGTAGAAAACACTTAAAAATTTGGTAAGAGTATAACATAGATAATTTTTAAAAAGTTTATGCATATCATGATCATGCCATCATTATAAAAATAAAACACTACAGGAAGTAGAATGGAACAGTTGAACAGTGTTTCTAACACAACAGTACTATACTAACTGAACAGACATTCTAGTTTTATTTTTATTCATTCCCTAATGGTTTTTAAACTTTGCAAGATAAAGGTAAAATCATCAAATGCTTTATTTCAGAATATTATTTGATGTTATCCTAATTTTTAAATTATTTCACATTATATTTAGGCTACTAGAAGAATAACCAAAATACTAGGTTTTTACTTTGGCTAAGTACACATTTGCCTAAAAAGATAAAATGAGTTATGATTACTTTTTCCCTTGGTTGGTTACAAAGCATTTGAGTAACTGCACAACAAAAGATAGAACACTTAAGGCTCGAACATTATTGTAAATAGGCTTATGAGCACATAAAACAATAATGAATTATCAATAAAATGTCTGGAAAAGTTTATGCGGTACTGTTACAAGAAGTGAAACATATAAATGAATCTTTCACTGTTTCTAAATTTCCAACAATGTATAAATTCTCTAGTATCCCATATATCACTGCACATGTGTGTGTGGTATTTGGACATTAGGCACTGTAAGTGATGCATTACTGACTACATGTTAACTTAAAACAATGTTAAATCAGAAATTAACTATTTTGATACAATATATAGCAAAATGCAGGCACTACTTACCTTAAAATGGATTTCAACATAACAAAAAGCTATTACTTTGTGCCACTGTCATGAAGAGTCTTGTAGGTTCCAGAAGCCTTAAATGAATCTCCCACCCCTACACATACTTATGTGTACTGTACCAACTTATAATGTAATCATTATCAGACTATAGCCCTTCAACATTAGGGGCAACAAATTCTCCATGCACAGTAATTTCCATAAGCACTAGCACTGGAACAAAAGCTTGTCCTTAACAAGATAAAAAAAGTACACCAAAAGTGGGGAGGAAGGGCAAGAAGTTACGCAGAGGGGTATTTATCTGAAATATATTTTCAGGTAAGGAAAATGTTAACTTCAAAAACATATACTCACCTTTATGCCACTGTTATCTTATCAATGTGAGATTCTAGTTCTTTGTTGTGAAGATAACAAAATTACAAAGATGAGCTCCTTTCTGAAATAATAGCATTAGAAAGTGAAAATCCATGGAGCATATCATCCTCTATGGTAGGGTTGGTGGAGTAGCTAAGTGGCACATCACTTGGTGAAAGACCAAATCTTTTTCTTGCAGGGAATATCCCGTCTAATAGTAGAACATAATAATGATACAACAAAAAACACTGACTTCTGTTTGCTACTAATTTGCTGTATACGTAGATGGATTGCAAGATTGCTCAACTGGCAGTTATCTCTTAGACAGTTGGATGGGTACAAGTGTATATTGTAGCTAGGGCAATGAGACAAACCATACCATACTGAGGAAGTAAATACATGAGATATTTATCAGAATAATCAGCTGCAGGAGGAAAATATCCCAAATTTGCATTCCAAGGAGAATGTAAGATCCATCCAGCTGAGTTAACCAACAGGAATGGCTTGGTGTCTAGTGTAGTGGTGGTGGCCTACAGAACACTTTCAGGTAACATCCCAACCTAATAGGAATCTTTCCATATCAACATATCCAATAGGTTGGTACTGGGAAAGTAAGGTTTTCCTCTTACTCCACTTCAAGAAAAAGGAGAGAATTAATGTGGGGGAGAATGCTGGAGAGGTGCTGGGTCTAAATAGCAATCATCACATTTGCACACTTAAGAGACTATGCAATGGGTTACCATGGTGTCAGCCAAGTGTGAAGGAAGGCTCACACTTGACTAAGAACACTTTTTCCTGAAGTACAGCCTGGAAGACAAAATAGATACATACTGTCAAAGCAGTCTTGTGGAAAATCCAATCTCAACAGCAGGCACTGAGTAGGGGCAGATAGGCTTAACATTTTACTTCACTCAATGCAAATTTTGGGGAAAGAGAAAAAGTATTTTTGCAAGGCAACACCAACAACTTGGAAAATTCTATTATCTCCATAATACAGATTGAATAAGATGAATATGGTTTTGTGAGACCTATAACAAAAAAAATAGAAAAAGAGAGAAAAATAACTCACTTTCAGAGAGACTCTATGAAGAGTGACTGGAGAGAGACAAAACCCATGGTCAATGAAGGTATATAATACGTGTATAAGTAATATAACACTAACATGTCATAAGTAGTCTACATCCCTACCTGCAAGATCTCACACAGAGGGCATCGATGGCTAGAAACAACAGAAGCCAGGAGATGATAATTAGATAAGGCATGAAAAATACGAAGTGTCATCACTCATAGAAGATCAAACTAGTTGGGTGAGGTGTATAACCCAAATGGTCAAAGAGGAAGGAGATATGTTACTAGAGGAAGAAGAATCACATGGCAAAAAATATATTGTCATTTGCCCTGGAAAGAGGCTGTGCAGCGAGTTAACAACAAACAGTCTGTAGAGGGCAAAGTAGACAATTTGGTACAGAACGCTTGTACAGGGAAGAAAACAAAGGGAGGTAGAATCGAGAAATCATACAATCACCCTCTTAAGCATCCTAAGTTTTTGGGAGGAATAGTAGTCAGGGAGATCAATCTGTTCTGGTGGTAAACAGTTTTGGAGGCATCCAAGGCAAAAAAAGTGAGAGCAATGGCTCCTAAAAGTAAGAAAGAGAAGAAAATGTCTGAAGCATATAAAATGTAACTGAACTACTTCAAACAGATTTGCTTCTGCCAGAGGAGTAGAGTCTGGGATTGTAGACCAAAAAAAATGGACGTTAGGTGTTGAGGGAAGTAAAAAAAGCAGCAAAGATAAGATTCCCATAGTAGGAGCAAATCTCGTGAAAGCACTAGAGGATGGATCATGATAACTAGACCAGGCAGACAAACAGAAGATGATGGTAAAGTGTACAAAAATACCCCACCTGAACAGATGAATTGGTATACAGATTGTATTTGTAGATTTGTTATCGTCCAGTGCAAAAGCTATACAATATGCAATATGCTGACTCACCAGTGATATGGAAACCTGCATATGTGAACATTATAAGCCCTCAGATTTACCACTGGGCCTTGAGGGCTCTGAATAGATGAAAGCCCAAGTGAAGTGGGAGAAGAAGGATGTCCAGGGTTGTGTGGAATGAAGTAAGCCATCACAACAGGGAGAGGTTCAAAAAAAGACAGATGATCTCTGAATATACTTGTGTTGATTGGCCAGAATTCACTGAAGTGGATGTATATGGATGAATCCAAGATGCACTTGGATGCACAGAAGAGTACCCAAAAGAGGCAAATCTCTCATACAGGATATTACGGAAACATAAGAACCTTGGTATCAGAAGCTCTATGTCTCAAAGATATAAAAGACTAGGCTGATCATAACCCTAATATGGAACAAGAAAGGTCACCCAAGTAAATGAGATACAGGGTGGGAGTTAAGACTGAATTGGATAACTAAACCAGCTACCCCAAATGAGACAAGTTTCAAAGGAGAAGAGATGTCACAACAGTGGAAGCCACATTGGATGGGACAAGTACAAGCCAAACATCCAAAGAGTAGTGGAACAATATGCTTCAGGAATGTGAACTCCAAGCAAAAGCCCCCTTCCCCAGACCTCATATAAAACAATGGGTATGTATCAATTGAGGAAGATATTGGAGAGTATTTAATGAAACCCATATGCTGGGTTAAAATACCAAGAAATAGTATGGTCAAAGAAACCTTATCGTAGACAATGGAACACGTATCCCGAATCACAAAACTCATTAAAAGAAAAAGTCAAATTGAAGATAATTTGATCAAAGTTCTGACTGACATATTTAATATTTGGCATCTTTCTTTTTTATAATCAAGAAAATTAAAGAAAGAAAGATTACATTATGAATATTTATAAAAGTTTAAAATAATAAGCACAAAAATTTATTTAATTCTTAAGCAAAAACATGTCTGAACAAAGTTGTACCAAGAAAAAGAATGAGCCTCTGCTTAAGTAATAGCACTCATGGGGATTACTGAACATAGAAGACATACCACCCTCCTGCTGGTGGAGGGCTATAGTCTAATGAGGATTATGTCATAGGCTAGTTCAGTACATGCTAAGATGTGTAAGGGTGGGAGCTCTGTTTTAGGTTAGTGGCATGTGCAAAAAACAAGGTAATAGCTCTTTGTTGTGCAGAGAGGTGGGAATATATTTCTGAAATCATGTTTAAAAAATGCAGTTTTTTTAAAAGCTATCGAGACTTCTGATAATATACTTATATTTGTAATTTGTCAGACAGAAGGTATATTTTATTGATCTTTGCATATTTATGTTTGCACAGTATATAGTTCAATTGCAACACTGCAGTTTTAGTCTTATAACAATGATGACACAATAATTTCAAAGTTCTATTAAAAAATAATTAAGTAAAAGAAAAAAGTGCTTGTATCTCATATAAATCTTGTTGGACACTGGGAGATACAAATTGGCTGCCTCTGGTAATTTATAATAATCTGTACTTGACTGTGTGTAACTAATATTATTGAACAATTTACTCTTCTTCTTCTTCATGAGCAATTGCCTTACAAACTTAATGTACTCAACTTGTTAAAAAAACAAATCTGTAAATTATTATATTCATAAAAACATGCATGATGAAGAAGGCTATTCAGCCAGTTTTACCTTATGTACAAGACCTTCACATAAATAAAACCTTCCACATTCATATATCTATCAATCACAAAGTTTAAATGCTCAATATGGTCAATAATTGTAATCTTTCCTCCTCATAAACTAATTAACCATACAGTTTAAGAATGTCATGAAATATTTTGAATACAAGAAAAAATCATTTTGAGAGACCCACTTGCTATTTTTATAACTGAATTTAAGTTTTGTGAGAACTTAAATGCTTGATTACATGCAGTATTCAAAAATTAAATGTTTGTCATACACTGAGAATTGTAAGTTACAAATAATGAGATATAAATACTTCTTTCGGAGTTATAGTGTATAAAGAAAGTATATCATTTATTTCTGGTTACTTTCATTCACATATTGATTATACTTTTTAGTACAATGAATATTACTACTTTTTATTTTGGTTTACTGTTCATTATTATAATATTATAAGACTGACCCAAATCTCCTGAGCTGGCTGAACCTTACTATATATATATATATATTATTGGAATTAGATTTGAAAATATTGTAAACAATGAGGGTAACAAAGTGATAAAACAATGCTTAGAAATAGAAACATATATTTAATTAGCTGTATTGATTGCCAGGTTGATTTTTAGTTTCCCTCTAAATACACATCTTGCACTCATCAGAGTTAATAAGATTTAAGGAGAACAAAGGTTCATCTATACTATCCCATCCTCATAACTAAACTTAAAAAAAGAAAAAACTCAAAGCCCACCTTTATCATACAATATTAATCAAGCCTTCCCTTAAACTTACCACTTCCATCACATCCAAAGGAACACATTTCAAAGGCCAACTACTTGTTAAAAAAAAGTTGCCTCTCTTAGCTGAAGATTACTCTGCCTAAATTTAGATTTATTTCTCCTAGTCCTTCCATTTGCACCATAAGGGATGAAAAAAGATTATGTATCAGTACTAGCAACTCCCTTAACAATCTTAAAAACCTCAAACAGGTCCCCTCTAACTTATCTTTTTTTTCAAGAGTAAACAATTTCAGAAACATAAGCCTGTCCTCGTAGGACAACCTTTCCATCCAAAGTATCATTCTAGTAGCCTTCTTCTGAATCTATTCAACAATTCAATGTCATTCCTATAGTAAAGAGCCCAAGACTGAATACAATACTCCAAATATGACCTAAACATTATAACCTCTTTCAACTTCAATTCAATACTTTTATAGATGTAACCTAAAATCCTATTTCTTCTACCTCTAGCAACATCACACAAAATGGATAGCTTAATAGTCTGATCAACCAGAACATCAAGATTCTTCCATAATACTGTTAAGGTTATTCCCATAAAAATTATACTAATAATTAAAATTATGATAACCCAAATTCATTACCTAGCATACATTATAATTAAAAGCCATCTGCCATTTATTTGCCTAACTCACCAAATGATCTAAATCCTTTTGTAAAGCAGTAGCATCCTCCTCACAGCCAGCAACACCCTAGACCTCAACACAATTAGCAAATTCAAGTAATTTATTGACCATTCCTTCATCAAAATCACCAATGTAAATCAAAATGAGTAAAAGTCCTAACATTGAGCCCTGTGGTACCTCACTTATGACATTAATCCAGTTTTATTGAACTTCATTTATAACAACCCTCTGCTTTCTTCAATCCAGTCACTTTTCTATCCAATGAGCCAACTTATACTCAACCTATACAGACAATTTTTTTAATAAGCCTTTTATGTGGCACCTAGTTAAATGTTTTCTGAAAACCCACAAACACCAAATCCATAGACTTATCCTCATCTACATAAGCAGTAACCTCTTCAAAGAATGTCAAAAGATTAGTAAGGCAAGAAAGATTTTCCCTTCATGAAACCATGCTGACAATCCAACAAAATTTTAAACTTTGTTAAATGACTTTGCAAAGCATCTTTTATCAAATTTCAAAAATTATAATTAATGGGAAGCTTTTATCACCTCTTTTGAAAAGAGGAGTAACATTAGCCAACTTCCAATCCTTTGGCACCTGTCCACTTTTCAAGGACTTACAAAAAAATAGTGGCAAATGGCTCATATATCTAATCCTTAACCTCCTATAAAACCTTGGGGAAGTATTATCTGACCCAGGAACCTTATCATTCTTTAAACTTCGAAATGTTTTCTTAACCAGCTCAGAATTAATGTGATCATCTTATTTAATCTTGTTTCCATCTAGCAATTGCTCAGGACAAGGAATATTGCTTAAATCTTATTAAAAATTGAAGAAAAAGTAGAATTTAATAACCCAGTCATCTCATAATCACCAGAAATGAGCCTTCCTTCATCATCCCTTAAAGATCCTACTCCAATTATAACACTTTGTTTACCCTTAATGTATTTAAAGAAATCCTCACTGTTAATTTTTACATTTTCAGCCAATCTTCTCTTATATCCCCTTGTTGATTTCCTAATTTCCTGTTTGACTTTCTCTCTTGATCCTCTGTAATCCTGTAAATCTTTGAACATAACAGTCAATTTAAACTTCTGAACTTTATGGTGCTTTTCCATAATATTATCCTTTAAAAACCTTTAGGAGACAACCAAGTTTTTAATTGCAGTCATACTCTTTTTCTACAAGGAACATGTGTATCTTCAATGTTAAAAATTGATTTAAAAAATTCCCATATTTGTTCAGAATCTCCAATCAATTCACAAGAAATAATTCTTTTTGTATCCTTTATAATTTTTTTACTTTGTAACCAAAACCTCATTATTCCTGACCTCCATATAAAATAAAATATAAAACCTAATACGGTAATGTTCACTTGCACTAAGATGTTCCCTAATCAACACCCTCTCAAGCACTTATACATTAAAATGTAACAATAAATCTGAAATAGCATTGTTCCTTGTACATTTCCTGACCAATTGGTGAAGAAACTGTCTTGAATTGTTTCTAGAATACCTGTCTCCCTTATGGTTTAACTGACATTTCCAAATCTGTATATCTTAAAATAAAATCACTCATAATTATGACCTTGTGAACAACTAAATTCATAATCTTACTATAGTTTCTCATTAATTTCATCAGTTTCACCTGGTGATATGTAAATTATTCCCTTTAAAAGCTTTTCCCCCTCATATTCATCAACAAAAATCCAATTAGTTACAATCTCCTTGTGACAAACTTAAATTAACTGCTGGCCTATATTGAAAACAAAAGGAAACTATCTGTATTTAACAACTGCATTCAATAGTTTCATCCAAGTTTACCCTATCATTCTTAAAAAAATAAAACAATTTTACTGTTAGCTTTAAGTTTGAAATGTTAACATTATTTTGATTTGATTTTAGGTGACACAAATAGACTAGATGGCCTTATTTCAACTTGTCTTTTCTTATGCAGGTAAATACTGACTAACTCAATTTCCTCTCATTCACATAGCAAATAAGCTTAATGACATTTAAAAAGTAAAATGTTAGGAGTACGTTTAGATCACTTAGTAGCACAGCAAAATAATTAAGTCAGAGACAGTGACTCAGAGACTATCATACGGCTATTTGGGCAAATTTTCAGTTTTCATTCTGTTAAAATTAGAAATGAAAATATGGTGATTCGGGAAAAACTGGTAGCAGAAGTTACTTACTCATAACTTCTGAAAAATCTCCCATACACCTATGGAGACTATTATACATAAGTTAACCTCTTAAAACATCAATACATGTAAATATGTTATTGTTAATCAAATTAACAATAATTTACACAAATCAAGTTGACAGATATACTTCTTCCTATCTTAAATTACAGTGTATTGTGTTTTGTTTTTCTCAATTAAACTTAAAGCCAAGCTATCCTACAGTCACTGTGTCAGCATAATGCAAGTACTACAGGATTCCAACATATTACAATTCAATATAGTCTACAAGTTACTATACAGACTTATTAACTATTAGTATTATTAATAATATTATTAAATGACAGATGATAAACACTAAAACAGTGGTATTAACAATGACTGAATAGAATACTATTACTTTAACTAATAAAAATACTTGCAAAACTTTTGTATGAGAGCCTAAAGCATTATTATATACATCTTGCTAAGAAATATTATTGTATTACTATTAGCAGACTTGTCACATTTTTCTTAAAGTAGAAAGCACACATACTTACAATTACTTCTCACACTACTATTAATATAATTTATAAAGTATTTATACACGTCGAGACTTGTACGCCACCTTGTGTTCTAGCTACGAAGTAAACTTGCATCTTTTACGATAAAGGAGTACTTACGGGAATAAATATACGTTTGGTTCTTCTGGTAAGAGACATTTTTAAACTGATCATTGAAATGTGGTTATATAATTTAAAAAAGTGTGAAAAACTCATTTACTTTTACTTATTTCGGCTAGAAATCTGTATATTTGTTTATTGAATTTCGCGCAAAGCTGTTCGAGGATTATGTGCGCTAGCCGTCCCAAATTTAGAAGTGATGGACAAGAGAGAAGGCAGTTATTCAACACAACCCATCGCCAATTCTTGAACTACTCTTTACAAATGAATGGTGGGGTTGGTCATCAGCTAATAACACCGCACGGTTTCATTCATTTATTCTGAATCTATGCAGTTTGCACATAATACATGTTCCAGAAAGTCATTAGGCTAACTTCATTCTAATTACATCTGTTCCTTTGTTCTTCTCTAGAAATAATACCTGTTATGTACATGGAAGAAATTTTTATAACACTGCAGGTTGTGCAAAAATATTGTTATGTCTCTGTTCGTTTGTTAATTTTCGGTAAAAATTCTTTCCGAAAAAATTTTAGCGATACAAGTCCTT